AAATATTTTGGGGTTGAAATTGACAAATAACTAACAGATTATGCAATGCGGCAGAGCCCCATGCAATTATACAGTTAAGTTTTGAACATATCCCAAGTCCATGTGATATCAGATTATTTTATTTAATGTCTGAAGTCACCATTGTATAAGATATTTACTGGATTTATCCAATTGTAGCTGGAGACGGAAAAACACAGCAATTAGTACAAAGAGCAGTGACAGTTTTTGTTCAGCAAATCAAAAAAGTTAAATGGATTCATGTATATAAATAAATAGCTTTTTGTTTTTTTAACTTTTAAATATGCATATTTTGCTCTGTAAAATACCAAAATCCAACACAAATTTATACAAAAATCAAAGTGTCCTTTGTTTTCATAAGCACTGACTGTGCTCCAGGTGTAAAGCTTTCCTGGTCTATAAGATATGAAAGATATATTAAATCCAAATTAGTTTTCAAACCGCCTAGATTCAAATCCTCTTTTCCTATCTTATAAGGGCGTTTATCAAGTGAGTACTCCACAGCTTTGTTTTTATTTACTATCCTTAGCAGCATAGATTTCCCTACTTCCTGCAGCCTTTTCTGTAGTCGTTTTTTGGCTTTATGCTTCTATCAGGGGTAAAACCTCTCTCTCTGGGGTTCTCCACACTTGTCAGGGGGGGGGAAACTCGTCTCGTCTCTCTATCTCGTCCCCTTGAGGTACGGGATCGGGAAAGTCACTTATACTTTTCAGTCAAATAAGACACATACAACGAAATACGTTTCAGCTCTCGTCTTAGTCGATCTTTTGGAGCACTCTATAAGACACAGCGCCCTGGGGAAAAGTCCCCAAGACTCTCACAAGGCTGAACCAAGACTCGCCCAAGACTGGACCGCGTCAAGGCTCGCCCCTGGACTCTCTCGGACTCTCAGACTGCTCTCTCTCTCTACTGCGTCTATCGTGGAGTATTCGCCAAGACCAACTCAAACTCTCTTTATTCACCTTCAAAACTCTGACCAATTACAATGCAGTAAAAAGACTCTAGGGCGTAACCTTCAATCATAAAGCCAATCAAACTAAGTACTGAATACGTCATATCTTTTGATTAATCGTTCACTACATTAATAACTACGGATGCCAGAATAGCGACGGTATCTTGTAATTAGTTCCAAATCACTGAGCCAAGTTCCGTCCAAAACTTCAAATAGACCTACACGATGACAGACATAACACAGCAATTCGGCTAATAATCAGCTAATTAAGTCGGTCAACAGATACGCAAAAACAAATTCATGACAGTAATAATAATTCAAATTCGTGTATGCTATATCAAAATTAGGATATTTCTTTCGTAGCTTCTTTCGCACTGCCCTTAAAGCATCCCCTAACACTCTCGGTCCTACCAACTGCAAAGGTAACCTTTCTTGTAATAACACGTCAATCGAACTCACCCTACGTTGTGTCTCCCTTTCAAGTAACTGTAACGCTTGTAGGCGTTGAATAGCATATCGAAACATTAAATGTGTGGATCGCCGTTCATAATTTAATTCTTTTTCTAACGCCTCTTGATTTAGTTCCATTCTGTTCAAGCGCTTTCTCCATTGCGATAAATCAGATACGATCGAATAAATGGCCTCATGATTCTCCTTAATCCCATTCAGAGCATTCCCTATTCTTTTATTCGTTGTGAAAACATATGAGTTTAAATCATCTTCGTACGCAACAATTTGATC